GGCGGCGGCGTCGTCATCATTATCGTCGTCGTCGTCGTCGTCGTCGTCGTCGTCGTCGTCGTCGTCGTCGTCGTCGTCATCGTCGTCGTCGTCGTCGTCGCCGTCGTCGTCGTCGTCGTCGTCGTCGTCGTAAGTAGCTGCTGTGGAGCTGGTGATTGCAGGGACAGTATCGCGCTCCATCGCTCCGTGCCGCGCCGTTCCACTATTACTGTCATCATCGTGGCCAGCCACCTGCCATACAGACGTGCTGGCGTTGCGTTGGCGCGCCAGCGTATACACGACGACGTGTTTTTCACTCGGTATCGCAATCAAAAGGTTTACCACCATCAGCACTCTTACCTCACAGGCTCGCGTCCTAGCATAGGCAGTGAAGTAGCCAAACCAACGCGTTCATAACGTGTGTTTTCGTCTTTGTGATGAAACGCCGACGTAGAGCCTGCTGGTGACCTGTAGATTTCTTTGAGTAGATGTGTGTACTGCTATAGAAGTTGCGTGCCGAAAAAGTTAGTTAGTTCTAAGTCAGTGGTTTGTTTGTCAACGTACGTTGCCGTTTACCTGTCCGTTCAGTCTAGTTCAGTCCCGTTCGTCAAAGCGGTGTTTAGTAGCTGAATTTGCCAACTATACAAAGATAACCAACGGAGAAACTTAGCAAAAGTATATTAATCACCACATATAAGTTGAGCCAGAAGCAACACAAAAAAAGGACATGCATCGATTATTTGCAGTAACTGAATAGGACAACAACAACGGCAGCAGCAGCAGCGGCGGCGGCAGCAACAAATCTGATTAACGACAACAACAACAGTAACGACAACTTCAATGCGTGCTTCACAGGGGGAGGGGGGATGACACAATGCCATTATCGTCATCGGTGTCATCTCATCACCTTCGTTGCCATCGTTGGTTTTCGCGACCGTTCGTGATCTCAGCCCGACTGTTTCAGCCGATATTCTTGATGGTGTGATCCAGCTCATTCCTCGACTGCTAGTAGCGTCGCCATCGTCTTGTTCGGGCTCACCATCGCAACAGCAGCTGTTGCTACTGCTGGCGCTCATTTGGTGAGCTTCTTCTTCGCGCTACAATCGCCGTTGTCTCTGTCATTTTCTTGTCACGGTCGCTGAAGTTCTTCTCTTCTCGCTGGTGTGCGGAGAGTCCTCCTGTCTGAGTCGTCGGCGATCTACGTTCGTTCGGCAACGAGCACCATCGCGCTCGTCGACGTCGTCTTCGGTGCCGCCTCCATTGATCAACTGGTGCCGTCGCAGCAGCAGCGGTAGAAACCAGCAACTGACGACCTACTCCGGGCGATATCCGACGTCGACACCGAACGGCAACAAAAGCCGCCGGGAGCAACAAAACGAGTGAACATATCGACAACAAGTCACGGGGGTTGTGCTTTTGTGGTCGTCATAGTGATCGAGGTCGCTAGCAGTGCTGCTGATGGTAAAGCAAGTAAATAAGTGTGGAAAAATGTGGCGGCTATCGAGCAGAAGTTAGTTAGCCGAGCCAGTGGTGATGTGGTGCTGAATCAAGCAGGTGCGCTCTGACCTGCCAACTTGTTGTTGTCGTTGTTGCTTACGGAGGAGCAGAAGAGCGTCTTCATGTCGTCGGCTGCAGCAGCGAAAAGTTCGAAATAGTGAGCAGTCAGTCGTTCCATCGAGAATATCTTCATCCGTTGTCAGGGTGTCATTCCACGGAACCAGCGAAGATCGAAGGAAAACGCCAAAGTGCCACTCATATGCTGCTGAAGTGAACAACAACAACAACAATACCATTTTTCGCGCTTATTGCGTGCGTGATTAAGCTTTCAGAACAGCTTGCTTAGCAAAAGAGCTAACTGCGGCAGTAGCTCCCAGCTAACGGAGGCTGCCGATTAGTCTCTAGCCGTTGTTTTTCGGCTAGGGGCGCAGTAGCTGTCTGGGCCTGCAGTTGATCTTGCATTTGCTTCGCTACCAAATATCATCAAGTAATCAATAATCATGCGCGAGTTCAAGGTGGTGGTCTTAGGTTCAGGAGGTGTCGGCAAATCCGCCCTGACGGTGCAGTTCGTCAGCGGCAACTTCATGGAGAAGTACGACCCGACGATCGAGGACTTCTATAGAAAAGAGATCGAAGTCGACCAGGCGCCGTGCGTGCTCGAAATCCTCGACACAGCCGGCACCGAGCAGTTTGCATCGATGCGCGACCTGTACATCAAGAACGGGCAAGGATTCGTCGTCGTTTACAGCATAACCAGCCATCAGACCTTCCAGGTTCGTGACAAAACAATTACCCATTATGTAGGAAAGAGTAACAAAATCAGCACACACAAGTAAGCGGGCAGCTAGAGTAGAGATACCATACGTAGCCATAGGAACGGAATATCATAGAAAATGCGTGCTTACGTTGAATCATTGTGGTAAAATCAAATTGCTTGACAGGCAGAAAGAGGTGGGCGGGAGCGAATGGGCGTAATAGAACGAGCGAATCGAGAGCTCTTCCAACTAGCACCCAGCCCAGGGAGACAGATACACGGCCTCTAACACAGGCCTAGCGTCACCAAACGAATGATTCCCAGCAGCTAAACAAGGTGCTAGTGGCGGCTCATTGTCTCTAATTAGAGACAGGCTGGCAGTTAGAATTCGAGTTCGTTCTGGTTCGCGAAGCTCCTTGCTCGCGCATCAGTAGCGCTGAATTCCTGCATTGCGGCATAACCGAAAAGCTGTTTTGTCGGGAAAAACGAGAGAGAGCAGATGGCGTGATTGGATTATTTGTCATAGTGAACAGTGTCACACATCTGTCTTTCGTAGAATTTCGTGTGGTCGTTTAGCGCTTCAACGAATTGGATTCATTGTGCTTTTGCATTTCAGTAAACGTCGAATACTTGAGTCGGATACAGCGAACTGTCATCAATTTGTGTGGATAGAAATTTCTAGCGCGCTACAAATTTCCGCGTTTAAATTTAGTCCATAATACCGGTATAGCTCGTAATCTGAGTCGTGAGTTGTAGCTTGTCCAATATGTAGGACAGCGCTGCGCGAGGTAAAAGGCCATTTGTCTCGGGTCGCGTGACAGATGGCGATCTCGATTTACGCCCTCTTTCATTGCTGAGATGGCCATTACCATTTTATCATGGAGTTGAACGAAATACATTAAGATCTTTAATTAAATAGTACTGTGACAAAACAAGCCTGTTCAAGCGGACCTGATCGAAGTCTATGCCCGTGGGCGATGGTACATGTTTTCAAGGCAAAGCTAGCTCATTTTAACCTAAGGAACTTTTTGCTATCCGTCAACTTCAACAGTGTAATTGTGTCGCGGTCACTTTTAAGTAGAAGAGAGTGTACCTAATTTTAATAGTAACGAACCCCCCAACCTAAAACGAGACATCAATTCGGACGTGGTGAACCGCGATCTTTTAGATTCTTGAAACACTTACGTGCGATGTCTATAAGCAAGATTGATCTTCAGAAGACTCACTAATTGTTATGTGACCTATACGCACGATTTTATGCCAAGCAGACAACGAGTGGCATTGCCAGTAATGTAATTAACGAACGACTTTAATAAATCCAATTTTTAACTACTTCTGAACGATCACTCGTAGGTGTGATCGTCCAGAAGCCTACAGACACACACTCGTACACGCCACAGTGTCTTCAAGTTCGCATTGAACGTCGTCCTGGTGGGCTTGTGTATACTCATGCTAACATGGAGCTAAGACATGCAGACTTCTAATTGACATTTGCGTTATATTCTACAATATATGCATACATTTTGCAGATGTTGGGCTTTCGGCAGGTGAACTTGCCCAATAGTGCATCGACGAACTCTCGTTGTCCGTCCAAAAGAAAGTCCAACAGACAACAACTGTCGTATTCCTAGTACCGTCATCATCGCCATTGTTACTGCAAACCACAACCAGCTTCGTCTATTGGGCTGATTCGAACTTTCGCTCGTCTTGCTCTCTCGAGGTCAGCCATCTTTTATCAAGCAACTAAGTGATAATCTGGTGGCCATCTCTTCGTAGGGCACACGGTCTGCACACATACGAACTGCGCGTTTGTAGTTATGTCAGAATACGAACAGACAGACGAGCTATGATAATCAAGCATGTTCTTGCTACAAACGCTAACCCTACATGTAGGAGATGCAAAATTATTATGTCCCGCATTGTTCTGTATGTAGTAGATTCTGCTTCGCATTGTTTCTGCAATGGTAGACCTCAACTAAGTTTTGTTGTTGTTGTTGTTGACTTGCATTCGCCTCACGTTAAAGTCTCAAAACCGTAGGACACTGCTGGAAACATACCTGCCATGAAAGCACTTCGAACGAAAACAGGCATATATATAAATGCGATCATTCTCAGGCCGACATCGCAGCGTACCGTAAATGTCCGGTAATGAACTGCTGAAATCGCGGTATAGGATTATTGGTTAGGATAGGAACAATACCAGGTTGTGATAGTGCTTACGGCTCTGATATTTGCGAAGTCTTCAACGTTTCCTATCATCTAATTAAACGTTGACATTAGAAATCCGTAGCTGTGCCTGACTAGCTAAGACTTTGTTGAACCTAAAACTAAAGGAAACGTTGTCACAAAGTTATTGCTCACAGAAGCGCCATGCAGCAACATAAGACTGCCATGTGTTGACCAGGAGCGCTAGCCGTGCCGCATGACACAGATCACAAGCATCAACATAGCCTTCTAGTGGCGTTTCTATCCTTTAACCTTAAGCCAAAATAGCCGTCTCGAAATCATGGTAAGGTACGCCGCTATCTCACAGCAGTATTATTCCCTAAATGATCGATATATAGCATTTGGCTTACTTGCAGAATTATTTACAAATATTTTGATGAACTGCTGTGGTAACTATTGCTCCCTCTAATCTAGTGGTAGTGGGTGATTATAGCTATGACTACCAGCCGCTGGCTAGCCGGCACTAGAGGGCTGGCGCATGAAAAAATTGCTCTGATTTAGATACTGTTGGCGCGTGTAGCAAGGGCTATTTTCGTAGCTGTTGAAAATCCGAGCGAAACAATAGGGCTGGCTAGTTTGCCGCAGGCTTAAGCTAATAACATATTCGTTAGGTGATAACAAATGGGTTGTTCAATGATAGCTCGACAGAGACATGTATCGGCTCACGTATGTGCACGCATTTTTTCCTGCGAAAATTTTTTAATCGCTTAATAACAGTTTGCCCTGTTCAATATGTCGTTTTTAGAGACAAAACAGAGTGGTGGTCGGCACTGCCCAATGGCCGCCTACGTACTTAATGGCCGCAGACGGCTTACGAGTAGATTGATGTCATTTTAGTTTTTGCTAATTTTCTATCACAAGTAGGCCTCATCTAATCCGAGCAATTTTTCAGAAAATATTTTACACGGTTCCACTGACGAGGTTAAATCAAAGCGAGCGTATCTCGAGCCATTGACGGCTCGACACTCGTTGACTTGCGTTGAGTTTTATTAATAACCTATTAGCTCAAGTAAAAGGGAAATGCTTCAGCAAACATGTAGGCTGACTTCGTTTCTTTTTTTTTTTGTCGTCAACGTTGTCATTTCGCTTCTCTAGTTCTATTTCGATCGTGCTGTGACATTTGGGCCGAATCACTACGTCGACCAAACAGCCAGCGACTGGGTTCCTGGGGTGAGTCGGCCGCGAGGGGAGTGAGAGGCATGCAAACGAGCAACGCCTTGCCGTAGATTTTGAATGTCACACGCCAATAAATGATAATCGTGGAGTCGTGTGCAAGCTATTTCTAGAGCGAGATGTATATATATTAATCGAATAGGAATACTAGGTATTCGATAGTAGCCGATTTTTCTCCGCCGTGAATATTTTGCAATTGGACTAAAATTACAGATAATAGCTCCCCAAAGGATACCAAAGTCAAAAAAAAAGATCGTACAATATTTCGACATCGCATGAAACGTTTCAACATTTGACATTTGCGCTTGAATGGTTATAAACGTTCTTTATTGTATAGGTATTATCCTATGTTTGCTCGTTCGAAGTTAGTCTGATTCATAGAATTCCCGAGATGTTCTCTGTTCCGACCTGTAACTACACAACGTTTGTTTACGTACAGAGCGGAACGCTAGTCGACAGCTGGTTCGGTCGATGTCGCTTGATATTCTATGCATCATTAGGGCGCAGAGCGCCGATTTGATTTGGAACTTCGATATGTAATATTAATACTAGAGGGACTCTTAATTATTGTTATAAGTCCATTGGCACAAAACCACGTTCTCATAGACCTAGGTATATCGTTCTATCTCGTGTAAAAGTAGAACGAAATCTAGAAGAAAGGAAATAGGACGGTGTAGCTGCGACTAGGGGGTGAGTTTGTGTTTGTTTATACTAACAGGTGACGGCGATATTTTGATCGTTGCAGACGTGTTTGTTGTTCACATATTTCTATCCCAGTAGAAAGAAGTTTGTTTTCGTTCGAAACTTCTCGTTGGTGTCCGGGCAATGAATTTAATACTAATCTGAACTGGGACCAGCAATAGCGTTAAACCCATACGTACTTAGACACAGGAATCTGCCGTATTTCGTTGCTGAGATACATTGTTCTTTTAGGAATCCCTATTATGACTGTATCATTCAGTTGAATTATTACGATCTATTTGAGTTAACGGGTTGCACTGCGTGGACCGTACGCGGTAAACCACGTCTCGTATTTGTTTATTTAAACGAGCTGTTTAATCTACTGCGCAGCTGGACATCGCTCCGCTGATCTGCACGTAGTAGAATACTTACGTCATCGTCAGGTCAATGCAATTGGTGACATCATTCAGCCGATTGTGATTCACGTTCAAACTTCGAAATAGATTCAGCATATAGATCGGGTGCCGGCAAAGCAGCGTTGACCGGGACGTCCTCAGCTTCGACGCCGTCGCATCGAAAGGGTGGAGCGCATCAATGGAGCCCTATCGTTCGTTGGAATGGAGCCCACTGCAAAGTGTAGATGTGTCAATACTGGAGAGATCCTTTTGGGCCGTCGTTGATGCGGCGGAATCTTTCGAAATCCAAAGAATCATATTCGAAGCAATTGCTAATCAGTGTAAGGTTGCCTATTATCGGATTGGCTCGAAGCAGACCCTGAAGTTACGATTAGGCAACATTTCCATTATATTCGCCCACATTGCTTGCCTCGATTATCTCGACGGGCTGATCGTTGCCGCTCTTACTATCCTTCAGTGGCGATCCGCTATAATTTTTTCAATGCTATTACTTGTCCGTATTTTTAAGATCAAAATCGCCACCAGACCAGTACCCGCAACATACTACTAGTATCCATCCATCCATCCATCCATCCATCCATTCTTGCACACAACATACGTTTACATCGATCGGTTTCGTTAGCGCCGCTGTTCCATTCCATCGAATAGATGGACATACATACAAACCAATATACAGGCGGACGAGGTGCCACACAGCAAATACTGCTCTTACATATACTGCCATCGGCCCATTCGGCCAACAAATGGAGAGAGATGAGATGAAATAATGTTCCCCGGGCTTTGTCTCTTTTGTGTAGCTTTAATGTATTTGTAACGATTCAAACTGCGGAACATCTATAGCAGCAGAGTCGAGCCACCGATGGGTCCTCTCGTCGCTACCCTTATATATTCCTCATGGCGATTTCTTTCGCTTCTCTCATGGCATGAACGGTGGCGACTACCGCTACATCAGTTTCTGCGGCGTTCGGCGATGTCTTCGACTGACTGAGTCCGTTTCGTCGGCGGCCAACTGCAAGCACAAGCAGTTGTCGGCGTTGTTGTAGCTGACGGGTCAGTGTTCTGTTTGTACAGTGCATGCAGAATCCAGTCACCAGCAGGTTTGTTTGCCATTTGTATTGGGCTTACTACCGCGTATCCAGTCGGCGATTGCGCTGGTGGTGCCATAGTCGCGCAAAGCTTCGGCTACGGCTGTGCTCGATGGTTTTCTTTCCGCTGCTGTTACTGCCGTCACCGTCACCGTCACCGTAAGCGGCGCCACAGCTGCCGGCAGCGTTGATGATGACTGTAGTGGTGACGCTGGCAGTTGTTCTCGGAGACCTTGTGGGTGGGCCTCTGGGTCGATTAGGCGATCGCTGTGTCTCCTAGACGGGCCCGATCTTTTGGCCAGCGGCGGCAGAACACGGTTCATCGCGTTCGTTCACAGTTGCTTTCGGCCGTCGGTTCGTTACATCGCATTGAATTTTTTGGCCTGGATTCGTTACCAGTATATTCTATTGTATATTTGTGAGTATATTGGAACCATTACGGATAGTGATCGTTTTCCGCCACCAGCAGCGGCAACAATGTCACGGTGGTAACATCAATAGCAGCGACGCTAGCTTCCACTCACTGGAAATTCTATAACAAGTCTCAACGGTAGCCTCAGCTCTCAGAACAGTCGTTGCTTGCGGCAAACAACGGCATTCGATGGCTGTCTGGAAAAGAAGTGTTCCGATGCCGTTATCGCCGACCTCGCAACAAAATCATGAGCATTATTGTCGTTGTCATTACCATCATCGTCACCAGCAGCAACGCGGTGATGAAGATGTTGAGGAGCACTTAAGACAATGATGATACGATGCTGGATGATTCCCGGTAGGAGACACGTAAGGAAACGGACAAGCTGAGAATCTCAACGAGCAAGACAGGAGAGGGAGGAAGGGAGAAGCAACGTTCGATAGTTCTCGGTACAAATGGCGCTACTGCTGCTGCTGACGACGACCAATGGTAGTGATCGCATTGTGTATAAGAGGCAAACAAGTTTATTGCTATGGGCAGATAGATTAATAAACGGGTGATAACTATTGACTGCTGGGCAAAAGGGGACTTCAGCGTTGGTTGCTATTGCCAACGATGCTCATGCTGGTGATGGATGACGCGACGTCTGGTGGTAGCGACGCCGCTGGCAATTGTGACTTGATTTTGTCGCTATTGTCGAAGATATCCTTGCTGTGGCAGCTGCAGTGATGGCGGAGTGGCAGCTACATACAGATATGTATTGCACAGCACAATACTGTACCGCAGAGTGTTTACGGACCAACATTGTCATCTTCCAGAAGCTGCAGCGGCGACAGCCGTCACAGAACTGAGCGCCACGCGATCGCACCAACAACAACAGCCCTGAGCAGCTTGCAGGGTATTATCAATACAAACCCTCACATCGATCGCTAGCGCCGCTAAACGGACGACGTTGTGGCATTCATTGTTGTTCTGTTTTATTTAGATCGCCAGTTATTATAGAATCTATATTATAAGAAAAGTTATTATAGAATAGGAAGAATAATACATGAAGGACGAAGGGCCATCGAGAAGGCTGCTCGTTGCACGCTTATGAGGAGGGCAACAATCTAAGGGATCCTTAAGAGCGCGTTATGTCCTGGAAAGCCTTTATTAGACTAGAGAAGTCCGCAAAGTCAGTCACAAGTCACAAGAGGACAGTGGCAACAGCAGCAGATACAGAACACTCCTGGGTCTCGTTGCCACGTGGAAAGAAGAGGCTCACAGGAAATGTACCTGCATGATCTTTAACGAAAATATAAAATTAAAAAAATGATTACATACGTGTGTCGTATACGTGTATTGTTATATGAAATCAAGAATGATAGTACATACGAAATATAAATATTAACTTTTTATCGAGGATTTTTAGATAACCAAATGAAAAAAAAGATTAACATTAGGAAATCAGTTTTGTATGGAAACCAGATTAAACCTTCTTTCGCGGCGAGCATTTCGTTGCGTCATCCCTTGCTTTCATGAAGGAAGGCGAACGCTGGACGTACGTTGTCTTCAGACAAAAAGATAGCTTCACACACATACACACAGAGCCCCATATTAAATGGATGACGATGACGCCTCTTTGAATGAGTGGATAAGAAACTTTAAAGTAAATGAATGCTTTTTCTTATGTGTGCGTTTGTTTGTATATATATCTGTACGCGGCCAATAGTCGGTGTCGGCATTCCGTTGTCACTTAGTGGGCAAACAAAGTCACGGACAAATAGAAATATACATACGAACGTTGGGCGCTACTACCAGTGGAAAAAAAACTGCCTCGAATTTCTAGTAACTACAAGCATAATAATGTCAGCTATGTCTGACCAAATCGATACCTGTAGACAGACCAATCGTTCGACAGCGGACGCTACTAAGGAGCTTTTGAAAATCTCAAAGGCAATATTATATAGCCAAGTTAGGATGTCGTATCTACAGTATCAATGTGTGCACTTCATCGGCCTAATCCAGTTCAGTATAATCTCTAGAGCGTTGATCAAACGCGTCAGTAATTAGGTGAATGCACGTTATATATAGTACTGGTTATTATTAAGGGCTTACTAGCATTGACAGTACCTCGCACAGAGTACTCTGTTATACGGATAAGAAGTATGTGAGGACCAAGAATAATAACGGTTTCTTGCTGCGACAGGTAATCAATTTTTGGGGAGGCGAAAGAGAGGTGGAGAAGCTGAAGGAGACAGATGGCTTCTCAAGGCGGGGTCATCATTCGAAAAGGGCCTTGCCTTACTGCAGTCAAGCCGTCCCGATGACACTTGCCATGTGTTATATGTGTTTGCTCTCTACAAACCGATCAATCATCATTGTTTTTCTCATCTGCTGAGACGCTGCTTAGCACTGACTACGACCCTCACCCGAGGCTGTTTCATGACGAAGACATTGATGCATGCTCAGTATCTTGTTAGTGTTGATGAGGAACAGACTCCTCCGGAAACTTAGCCATTTTATCAAACGTGCCGATTTATACCGACGAAGCCCTAGTACTAGATTACCATAACGTTTTTGCATTATAGCATCGCATACATTTTCAGTATCTATAGAAGAGTTTCCAATGAGCGTTTGCGCTTTGGGTTTAAGATAGTAATTAATAGAAAAATAAAAAAACGGCTTGATTATTAATGCCTTTATTGTTAGGGTGGCGTCAGTCACATGATAGTTTTCGATAAGTATAAATTTCATTATAGCGATACAATTGTTATGGCAGACTTGCTTCGAGCATATAATAATACAGGCAGCATCGGCAGGTTACAGTTGGTCCGTATAAATAGTTCTTCGTTAAGCCTGTAAAACTGCTGTTAAAGGACGGACGTAAATTTAATAAATTTACGTACCGTGGCTGCCTGGCTGGACTCGTCGAAGTTTCAACGACAAAAATACTCGACGATGAGAGACAGCGGCAGCAGCACGGAAACCTCTTTCATAAGCGGTCCGCTGCACACGCGATTGTTGCGGCCGAAATGGAGCTGTCAAAAACACCCTATGGTTAGAAAAGATAAGGGTCAATGACCATGATGGACTCCCTATAGGAACACGGGGATCGTCGTTGCATTTAGTGTATTGAAACAATTATATGATGATGAGATCGAAATGGCCTACTCGATGCTCTGTTAACTAAGAATTACAGTGGCCACAGCCTAAGGCAAATTTTGTCATCGGTGCGACGAGTTATGCAACCTACCCTAAAAAATTAATAACATCTTTTGATGATGTCGTTACTATCGCGCGCGTACGGACGTAAATACGATTTGACAAAACGCCACACAGGTTTATGATCTGTACCTTGTGACTATATATAGGTGACGCATTAGGCAAGTGCGTGTTACACAAGCTAACTAACTAAAAGACGATCTTATACAAAGAGCAACTAGAAAACACCGAACATTTCTATCGTTATAAACAATAACAACAGCATAATAAAGAGAACAGGGATTCGTTGATGAAAATTATTAACAACAAATGAAGGCAAGGGCCCGCAAGGCTACGAGTCGTGGTACAGCGAATTGGTACGGCAGCCCTTGCGGCTCGTACAACATATATATATATATAGGGCGTACTTTGTCGAGCAATGCATCAAGCTAAGCGTTATAGACTCTATCTAGTCTATTCTCTTAAGCGAGCTAATATGATAGCCTGCTTGTAGACACGCCATCTTTTCTATGTGCTTTTGGCGCACCCAGTTCTAACAATGTGAAGATCACGTCCAAGCGCGTACAGTTAGTTGTACGCTAAGCTGGAATATTACGTACGCGTCAACACTTCTGAGAAGTACTGCATCGATTGGCGATAAAAACGCTTTCAACATTGGACCTTAACGCTGACGTTATATTGAATAAAGAAGCCGAGTGAACGATACCCTGGCAAGTCTGCCGTGTCGGTCTACTATTATGGCACAACGAAGGCGGGCGGCACTCCGTTCTCGAACGGTCAACTCTCAACGACTAAAGTGGCTAATGCACAAGTACACTTTCAATCTGCCTGCTGTTTTCTGTAAATGAGCGAATTTGATTTTGCCTGTCCCTTTCTAGATCCGATACATTCGCTTTTATAGGACTTCTTTTTCCATGTGTGTGTTCCCCTCTGTCATCGGCGTGCGCGGTGCTGCAGTGGCTGATCGAAGAAAGTGGACAACGCTCAGGTTTTAAGGGAGAGAAATGTTATTGTGACTATTGTTTGGAAAGTAGATTGACCATACAAATGGACAGTACGACACGGACCAATTCCGGTTCCTCTCGTTCGGCCGAGTATTGACGGTCTTTTTTATTCAGACGTTTAATCGGCAGCTTTTGTGCGCCTGCCGCGTGTTGGCGGTTCGATCGACATACACCATAACAATCAGTGGCGGTTGTAAATAATGCGAAACGTAATTAAACTAGCATTGCTTTTAGTTACGAATAGAGTAAGACATAGGCATAGAGTTTTTCTTTTGTTACGAGTGTGACCAAGCCCCTGCAATGCGCCTACCGAACAATGGTTACACTCGGTTCAACTTCCATACAACATTAGAACGGCGGTCGTTTTTCCTCTGATTTGTACAATTCGTAACTATAACCACTGCCGAGAGTGCTACGCCTCGCCAACACTGCCCTTGGAGCATTTCTCTGATGGCATTAGAAGATGCGATAGCGAATCACTTCACATGCGACTCTGCCTTTCGGGTCTTTCAGTGCACGAACAGAGCGCATACGCGCAAATGTTCATGCTTCGCATGCAGGAGTTTTTTGAAAGCGGAGAAAATCATCAGTTTCTTTCTTTGTCATATTTGTCCTTTATAATATATATATATATATCTATCTGTGTACTATTTTCGCTGTTCTCCACTGCTGTTTCAATGTTGTAGTGGCTAGCAAGGCCTTCTTTCCGGAATGACCTTCTAGTCTAACGTAATCGAACCATTGCGAGGTGCCGCATCTTGTAGCCAGGTACGGACGCCTACGAAGGTCTTATATATGATATTCCTCTCGTGTCCTTTTTGATGCTGTTAAATGTTCGGTCGAACGACAACCGTCCGCAACGACTTGGGCCGGGTGTCGTTGACGGTAACGACACAGACGACATCAGCACAACGGTCGGTCGCTTAGTCACTCGAATGACGTCTGCCTGCCCGGCAACAGAGAGACGTCGTTCGTCCGGAAGTGCAGGTTCTCGTTTTCAGAAACGGGAAGGCGTTGCATGCAGACTGCGATCAAGCCATTTTTGCTAGTGCTGCTGCTGTTGTTATTATTAGCAGATTTAGCTGGAAAAACCTAGCTGACCTATAGCCAGTAAGGCCAGTTAGCCATGTTCACAAAAGGCTATGCCACGATCGAGAAGGCACCGATACGTATTCGTATACGTCCGCGCGCTTGTAGCAAGATCGCGCATTAACTTGTTCTCTTGGCGATGTTGCTCGTGTTATGGTCGGAATCGCTGTTTTGGTGCCCCCTGTTCGTAGCGATGGCTCGTGTTACGTCGCCATCTTGAAAGGGGCACGGATTAAGCCAACAATTACAAACAAGCGGTGATTCACGAGAAAGGCTTCTATTTACTATTACAATGTCGAGTCGACGAAAATCTAGACTGAGCTCCGCTAACAAGAGTTCGCCATTCGACCGATTGCCGCTGTAGTGAAAATATTGCTAACAGTATCAGTGTTCGAGATTTACTAGGACTGCTAGAGATAAGTTTACCCCGGCTGAACCTACTAGTTCTAATAGTTGATGTTATACCTAAAAAGCAGATGGCTTCTAGAACTCGTTCACACAGTAGATATAAGCAAGAGCAATAAGAAATTGTTGAGAAAGAAAAGCGCACTGATAGGGGCAATTGCACGATATAGAGGGAGACTATTAGAGCCAGTCGCTGCATGCTCGCATGCAAACTTGGTTTACACAGGCCCGAAAATAGCTAGACGCATGATTTGCCTCTTCTGGCTCAATGTACAGGCTAGCACAACACGACAATTACAGACGCTTCGCTGACAGTATTTAAATGCAACATAAAGGACGCAAGACAAATATCGTTGGCTTTTTCTTTGTCTCCATCTATTTCCGCTGCTCCTATAACCAGTGATACTACTTTCCCAGTATTAGCTATTCACAGAGAATCGACTCGCAGTTATAGGGGCGTAGGGGCAGTGCAGCTCCGCCATCTTTTCTTACCACTGTCGTTGGTCATACAGTTATTAATTTGAGAACACATGTACTACTTTGCCATGACCAGGCCGATTAGCAGCTTGTTGCTACTTGCTAATTCTTGGGGCGCGCAAACATGGCGAACGCACACGTATACTTACATACATGCTTTTCGATTGTGTTTCGTCAAGTGGAGGCGATTTTCTCTCCATATCTCTGTAAAATACAGAGAGACGGCATTACATCGAGGCCTGTGTTTCATGTTTCATTCATTCTTAACGACAGCAAAAAAAGAACATTGATTTAATGATAATGATGCTTAAACCGTGTCACGTCCCGCACCGAGGGACATGCCCACTCCGCTACGAGCATCTCTGTGAATTACTTTGGCTGTGCAAAATCGTGTCGCTGCGAGACGTTTCTAGGGTGATCCTCGTGTGCTTGTCCTCGTCTCCTTGCCGGCGGCCATGGCTGCCGCAATTGTTGGTCACCGTTGTTGTGACTGTGGAAGGTAATCGGAGACATCTTTTGGCTGCCGGGTACGGGCAATGTACGTGGACGTAAATGGCGCCGATACAGGGCAGGACTCGCTAGCAGGCGGATTAAATAGCTCTTGACAGCGCGCGCCGACGCTGCACGTTGTTTCGTATCCATGCTGCCTGCCTATGCTCTAATAACCGTAGCAGTTTCAAGATGGTGAATGTATAGGCAAATGAACCGGCTGACAGCCGTCGCTGTTGTTGGTGTTGATGATAAGAACGGTGGTAGTGGTGATGATGTCGAGGATGACGGCTACGATCGTTCCGTCTCTGTTTCGGGCTTTGAACCGTTGGAGTTGGTCGAAAAAACTATCGAGGTCCAGCGAGACCATTACACAGGACACGACGATGCGATTGATTTTCATCGTATAAAACGCTTGGCTACTTAGCTATTGGATGTACTATACTGGATTAGATTCCGCGAGAGGATGTGATAACGAAAAGTAGTCGAGTATGGGGTTCGACTTACTTGGTGCTGTAATTGTTGTCAGGGGAAGGCAAGTGACGTCGAAGCGCTTGAAACTGAAGTCAACGAGCTCAATGAAGTTTAAAGATTCTTCATCGACAGTTAGCTAGGAAAACTCAGCCATAGGTAGGCAACGGGAATAGCGTTCAAAGGCAGATATTCAAAAGTATTCTATAATGACGAGTAGTACTGCTAGAGTTAGTCCAGTTCGATTCTAGACCAATTGCGCAACTTAATTTAGCGCATGATAAACGACGTATCAGCCATTGTTTTCGGCTTGCTTTTACCACACGCTCTACCACGTAGAATGGTTCAACACGATGTATATTCCTGTTTTGTTAATGCTTATAGAGAGTTAGACCCGCGTCGATATCGCATTGAGCCGTCAATACTTCTATTCGTATATATTGAATTTTATTATATATATATAACAAATATTAATCGATAAAAGTAACAAGTCGAGCAGTAGCATCTACCGCCATCCTTCCGGTTTACTATCGACTAGTTCAAGTGAACGATCGATCGTTCGCTGTGCGACACGGGATCGAACCTTAGGCCGCATTGAACTTAATCTTCATTTTATCTGCCGGTGAAAAGCGAATGACACGGCAGATTGCCATCCATCTAAATTGATTCCAACGCTGAGGAGAACGAACGCGATCGAAATATCGCTGCGGCTGTTGTGATGATTCTCGTTTAATCTTCAATAGGCCGGCCCGGTGTCTCCCTGTTCGAAAGAGCAAAAGCCGGAGCTGTAAAAACGCGTCGCCTACCAACCAATACCGCTCTGTTTGCTACTGCCGTCATCAATACTGCAGCTTCGTCTACTAGGAGACGACGCGGCCATTGCCGCGTCTCTTTAGGGAGGGGTGCCAATGATGGCGACAGACTCCGATCGCTTCTTGGCCACTCTGCTCGCTTAGAGGGAACGGGCCGCTCCAGGCACCGCCGATCCAGCCAATGGCCGAACAACGCAGCAGCGGCACCAACAACTTTCAGAAGAACAGGAATCCGTCAGAATTCATCGTTTTTTTTCCTTTGCCGGCGGCAATTCTTCGGCG